GGCGGGGCATTGGAGCGCGGGCGGGGGTGGGGGCCGGGATGGAGAGCGTGCAGGTGCGGCACCTGGGGCTGGTGATGCTCCCGGGGAAGCACGTGGTGCGGGTGGAGGTGAAGGGGCGGGACCCCCTGGAGGTGGCGGGCCCGGGCACGTGAGCGGGCGGGGGCAAGGGGGATAGTGGGGAGGGAGGCGTGTAGGACGTTGCAAAGTAAATGTGCATAAGGGCGCGGTATCTATGCATGGTCTTCGGCAGATCACACTGCCGGCCTCTCGTTTCGCTGCGTGGTTGCTTTCATTTTTCCTTCTGCATGTACAAAGCTTTTCCCCCTTCCTCGCGTCGCCCCTCTCCTCACTCCCACGGGCTGGCCCAGACCAGCCGCTGACCATCCTCACCCCCCCAGCCCCTGCCTCCTTCCTCTCCCTTACCCTGTACAGGCCCGGTCCCGTGCCACCTCTTCCCTCCTCATCAAACCCCAACCCATCCGCGCTCAGCAGGCGCAGCTTCCGGCCTTCTCCGCCCCTTCCCCTTCACCACGCGCCCCCACCGCCACCCGCCCTCCCCCGCGCCCCGCCCTGTGCACGAAGCGGATACCCACACTCTCGTCCGCGGGGTCGATCACCCCCGTTTCGATCTTCTCGTACACTGCCTCAGCCACCCTGACGAAGGCTTCGTCCACGTTCACGCGGGTCTTGGCCGAGGTCTCCGTGAAGAGGAGGCCGTGCTCGCGCGCGAACGCCTCCCCCTCCTCTCGGGAGACGGCGCGCCGGCCCTCGCGGTCGCACTTGTTGCCGACGAGCATGATCACCATCTTCTCTCCGCAGCCACTGGCGTTCTCGCGCAGCTCTGACAGCCATCGCTCTGCGTGCGTAAAGCTGCATGGGGCGGAAGGGATGGGGCGAGTGGATTATTTTGGTGGGTATGGGTGGTAGCCAGCGGATGAGGATGAGGCACGGATGCTACAGAAAACACAGGAAGCGAAGAGGAGGACGCGGCGGGTTTGACAACGATTGAAAAGAGAATCGGTACATTCCAGCAACCTTAGCTCACCTCTCCCGTCGTGTGATGTCGTAGACCAGCAAGGCGCCGATAGCCCCGCGGTAGTAGCTTCGAGTGATGCTCCTGAAGGTCTCCTGCCCCGCCGTGTCCCATATCTGCAGCTTGACCCGCACCTGGTCTTGCACAGTCACCAGCTTGCTCCCGAACTCCACGCCAATCGTACTGTTGTGCAGCGGCAAGAAGCGTTTGTCCGTGAACTGGAGAAGCAGGCAGCTTTTACCCACACTGGTATTGCCAATTACAATCAACTAGAAGGTGGGGTAATACAGGCACGTGAGGAATGTGCGAGTCAAGGCACTGGAGACAGATCCGACTGGGCCACGCAACGTGATGACCATGCAAAGCTCGTGGAATTAGGGAGTTGTTCTAATGACGTCCTGTCAGCAGGTCCGCGGGCAGTGTCCTCGGAGCCTCTCTCGTCGGGAGCGTGGCGCTCCCCGCCTTCTTTCCTTGGCCCTTACCTTTATCAACAAATCATGTGACATGCTTTCTGGGGAAAGCAGGAGACTGCAAAAGGTGTGCACTGCTGAAGGAATGGATAGAGGAGTCGCGGGCGGCTAGTAGACAAGACGCGTGCTAAGTGAGGACGACGACCCCGAGGACTGTGGCTAGCCCTGTTCACACTCGCCGCTTGGTGCTGTAATGACGGGGGACCGTCGCTGTACCTTTCGTGAAGGGTGTCGCGCCGGTGAAATGAAGTGAGCCCGCATTTCGCATGGCAGCAACTGCCATGGGGAGCACGTGTGCTACCGTAGCAGGGAACGAACAGCCGAGCTGGCGAGTGGTGCGTCAGGCGATCCCGGGGGTATGCAGTCGTGAAATGTCCCTTAATGCGTATGCAATGATTACTTCATTATAGTCTCCTCTTGCTCTAGAGTGCATCTACCACAGCGGCTGCCTGATAAGATAACTATCGGCGCTGGTGAAGCTGTCCATTACCTAACAATGCGTCGCAACCTCTCCCCCAAACCCAATATATCAACGCATTTGAAACTAAGACATGACCGACCTTACCAAGACTCCGCTTAAGCCAGAGGAGGATGTGACTGGTCCTTTTTTGCCTAACGACGCTGTCCTCATCCGAGAGCTAAATTTTTCCTACGGGGACCGTCCAGTAAGCTTTAAAGAAGGAGGGCTTGAGGCATGGGGACGCACGTGCGTGGTGGTTCGTCTGCCCGAACACGCTCTTTCGACTGACGTTCGTCACGTCTACGTTTACCCCCAACCCCGATAGGTTTTAAAGGGCATCAATATGCGGCTTAAAAGAGGTAGCCGGTACGTTACTCCTCCATCGTACACGCCTGATGTGTTTGGTGAATTGTGGTAGCATGTACGTCACTCTCTCATCACTCATCGCGACCTAGACATGTTTCTGAGCAATGCTGTTTTAGCATTAATGCGATGCTTCTACTGTAACCTGAATCAGACATCTTCTCGACATTCATGGTATCTAGCTGTCAAAGCCCAACTTTTCCTTCGGAAAGAGACATGGTGGCTTCGTGCCACCTCGACCGCGGGTGCCATCGATCCAATACATCTTGTGTAAATTTATTTGACTTGCCCTGCGCAAGCCATCTGAACATTCATTATCAACATGAAGCTTGCATAATGCTTATATGAGGTCTTTTCCGTGACGCTGCCACTTGAATCGCTCCCCTCTCCCTAATCTCCCTTCGCTTGTCCCCCCCAATCCGTTCTATTTCCAAGATGCCTTCTTATCGGCGCGAACGGAGCGGGGAAAAGCACACTACTCCGTATCCTAGGAGGACGGCACTTGACTAAGCCTGACGACGCGGTGACCGTGATGGGGATGCACGCTTTCCGAGACACCAAGCTGAACCTGATCCGGGCGTACATGGACACGGACTGGGGAATGCGCACGGTCGCCTTCGCGGGCTACGGGGTCCCGCTGCAGGCAGACATCCCCGTCACCGGCATGATGAGTAAGCTGCAGAGCCAGCACCCAGAGAGACGGGATGAGCTCCTGGAGCTTCTGGGAATCGACCCGGAGTGGCGCATGAACAGGGTCTCGGACGGACAGCGCCGACGCGTGCAGCTCTTCTTAGGCCTGGTCCGCCCCTTCGAAATCCTTCTTCTTGACGAAGTAACCGTGTCTCTGGATGTTGTGGTGCGCCAAGACTTGCTGCGCTGGCTACGGCGGGAGACGGAGGTGAGGGGCGCCACGGTGATATACGCTACCCACATCTTCGACGGCCTCGACGACTGGCCTTCGCATCTGCACTTCATGACCAATCAGGGTCGTACCGGGTGGCAGGGGAAGCTGGAAGATCTCGAGCACTACCAAGAGCTCCGCAGGGCCGGCGACCCTGGGCCTCTGCTGCGCATCGCCGAGAGGTGGCTGCGGACAGAGACAGAGGAGCAGAAGCGGCGGAAGTTGCGGGAGAAGGAGCTTGGGACTCAGGTGCTCGACGACAAGCTGTCCCAACCCACACTGTCAGGAGGAGGATTCGCAGCAGGGCGTATGTACGACCATTTCCATGAGGGTGTCTGATCTTGGAGGGCATGGGAAGCAAATAAGGCAAATAAAAATTGGATCGGCAAAGGAGGGAAAGTCCCTTTTGCTGCACTAGGGGATGAAAGTAGAACTTAAACCGAAAATATTGGTGATATTTTATGAAGGAGTGGGAAAGGTAGCCAAAAAGAAACAAAAATCGTACTTTGAATGAGGATTTCCACCCTTTCTGCTAAAACCTGGAGGATGGGCTGGGGCAGGAGGTTAAACATACGCACTCATTGGTCGTGACCCTTTGATTTGCAACTAATGCCACAGTATGGATCTCAACAGGGGAGCCTACTGGTTGTGCACCTCCGCATGCTGGTATCGCTGGGCCATTTGAAAGCGCCGCTGTCCGGGGCGGGCCTCATTACCCTATCCCCTGTCCGCCAAGAGGGCATTGCTCTCCAGGCTCGACTCCCCAATTGTCGTCTTGCCAGCACCACCAGCAGGGGGACAATGTCTGCAATGTCTACAGCTGATGGAAATCTTTCCGATTTTTTTTCTGGCCGGAAAGTCCATCAGTCTGCCCTGGCTTTAATGCCTGACATGGACTCGTCGCTCTTTACGGCCATCCAGTCTATTCGACGCTCTCACGACAAGCATTATAGGCGGTGGCCACCTCACGTCAACATCATCTATCCATTCGTGCCAGAGTATGAATTTGATGTTGCTGCTCGCGTCCTCCAAAAAGCATTGTCCTCCTTCGCGGTCATCGACGATTGTACAATGGCCCGGATGGGCTACTTCGAACACGGGAGATCCTCCTGCACAGCGTGGCTGGCCCCGCAAGAAGCGCGGTTGAGCGATGCAGAGCTTCGACACGAAGAAGAACTTGCCAGCCCAGCACCGCATCCGAGAATTATACAGCTACAGGCTGCTTGCCAAGCTGCGATACCTCACTGCGCCGACCTGACCGCCTCTTTCGGAGGGAGATTTACACCGCACCTGTCCATAGGCCAGTTCCAGGATAGAAAGGGCGCGAAAGATTTCATCGACTCGGTCGACTGGGTTGCAGAGGCCTTCCCAGTGCGTCAGCTGTACCTGCTGGCGAGAAACGGGCCTACGGACCCCTTCAGTGTGCGCTATATCGTCCGCTTGGCCGGCGGCAGCGTGACTAGAGTAGAGCCCGGTACACTCCCACGCCATGCAGGCGCTACCGTCGCCGATCAGGGTTTCTTTCGCCTGAGTGCTGACACAAAGAACGCAACACCTCCTGCCCGCATAAACCCAGCAGAGGTGGAGGTAGACGGGAGCTTGCTAGAGGGAGGGGGGCAAGTCCTGCGCACTTCCCTGGCCCTAAGCATCTTACTACGAAAGCGCCTTCGCATCAGCTCCATTCGATCTGGTAGAAGCAAGCCGGGCCTGCAGCCTCAGCATTTGGCCGGTGTCAGGCTGGTCGCCGAGATCGGTAGGAGCAGCGTGGAGGGTGCCAACCTGGGCAGCATGGAGGTCTGTGTCCACCCTCCTCTTTCTCCCTCCCTCGATGCGTCTCCGTCGCCCCAGCGTCATTTTAAGGCGGACCCTGGCACCGCCGGCAGCGTAACGCTGTTGCTGCAAGCTGCGCTACCCCTGCTCGCCTTCCAAGCCCCCGCCCAGTCCGCACGCCCCGGTCCCCGCCCCGGCGCCGAAGGAGTCACACTCACTCTCAAAGGTGGAACCACGGTCTCCCACTCGCCCTCCATCGACTACTTTGTGCATGTCACCGCCCCGGTGCTCGCTCGAATGGGCCTGGTTGTCGAGACGGAGGTCCTGAGTCGAGGCTTCTTTCCCCAGGGAGGGGGACAAGTCCAGGTCCATGTATCTCATCCTCTCTCTCCTCTCCGCCCATTGAACCTCACGGACCCTGGTCGTCCCCAGCGTGTACTAGCGTTTGCAACTGGCATTGTAACGGCTGGGAGCGGCGCAGATAAGCACCTGGTGGAGGGGCTCGGGGATGTGCTGGGTAATGTGTTGGAGGAGGTTTTCGGCGGCCAGATAGCCATTGAGTACCGAGACAACGTGTGGAGACAGGAGCCCTTCTCCGGGCGGGAGCAAGAAGGGGGAGGAGGCGGCGGGCGACGTCAAGGGTTCGCATCGAGAAAACGGGCCCGCGGAAGGCTCAAGCGTGAGGTCTTCCACCTCCTCTTGGTCCTAGAATCGACCAGCGGATGCCGTCTGGGCGCAGACATGTTGCTGGAAGATTTGCGGCAATTCGAAAACCACACCAACGGGAAGCCTGATGGGTCAGGAGATCATAACGGCCACAGACATTTTGAGAAGGAGGGTGAGCAGCGACGCGTCTGCTCTGAACTCGCCAGCACCCTTCGCAAGTGTCAAGCGGCGGGAGCTTGCGTAGATGAACACACACTTGATCAGTTGGTGATGTACATGGCTTTGGCGCAGGGTACCTCCCGTGTGCTTGGGCCGCCACGATCATTCTTGTCTTCGAATCATGTTGCGACCGCCATCCGTATCACAGAACAGCTGCTCGGAGTCAGCTTCAAAATGTGGAGTGACAAAAGTTATGGGCCTTTGACTGTTGAAATTGCGCAAGGGCATGCTTTCACTCCAGAGACGTAGTGCTAAATGGGAGTCTTTTCCCGCGAAATAAAGAACAAAGATAAGAAGAGAGCGCTTGTTTTTTTTCATGGGTCTGTTGCGTAGATTGAACGCTTCGAAGGAAAGCGAAGCAATTTTTAACAACCGCGTCTCTCTTTTTGACGTCCCCCGGCCTCGTACATTCCCCGTGTGGTTCTGTTTGAGGCTTTTCATCAGCGCATGCATCGAATGAATGGGGCGGAAGCAGAATGACTGTGGCCTCGCAAAAATGGAACCAAAGGAATGTAATCACTTCCCTGCGAAAGTAATTGTCTTTCGTTGCGTGATATAAAGTATCTGGTGCTCGTTATCGTTTATTATAGCCGTTTTTGACTATTTTTTCAATGACTTAATCACCCAGATGGTTCTGCATTTTCTGGTATTACCTAGTGGACTACGTAGCAGGACCATCCCGACGGCCGGAACAATACAATGTCGATTAAGTCAAAGCCACTATATGAAACCCATGCGGAGACTGAAGGTAGAGAAAAGCAGGGTTCGATGCGCAGTCACTCGAAGATGGTTTTTCGGCCGGCCTCGCTCCAAATGGCTTTAAAAAATTTTCCGACCGACCTTTGAAAAATGCCATAACCCTCATAAACGAGACCACACGCGCATGGACCGTGGAGGTCTCTGTTTGCGGCCCCCTCGCAAGCGATGAACCAAAAACATCTACAGTGTATTTGATTAGCTTCAAAAAAGAGGCTCTTGTTCTTTGTACTTGTGTGCCTGGGACTAAAACGTGAATTGTTTGGTTTTGATCGGTGCCCGATGTGGGACATAAGTATGTTACTCTTCTCCTTGTCGAAGTGAAGTACATGTTGGCGCTATATGTAAGGGTGCGACCGACATGTAGGGTAAAAAAGATGATTTCTCGTGCTACGTTGCAGAGAGGTCGCGCTTAAGTGGACACTATGATAATATTTTTCGACTCGCGTCTCTCGCTTCTTGTTGAAACTATGATAGACACCATGACCGCTCTTTATTTTTGTGATGGCTCACATCGACAGAGTTGCATACCACAAAGGAACTATAGAGGACGAAGGTCTGATAGGTGGCCGGTGAACCAGCGCGGGCTGCATTGGTTGTAATTTTATCCAACTATGTCTTCGCAAAATGGCCTTTTCATGCTCCTCCCACGCGGTCCGGTCTGGCGGAGCGAGGACGTGAAAAGCATGGTTGGCTTCATGGACGAATTCAATCGTCGGGCGGATGAGGCAGATAGTTTTCAATTACTGGAGACCTTCAATTTCATCGTTGAGGCAGTGGGCATCGACGCATGTGTTGAAGCACTTGATCAAGTCAAAAAACAGCAGCAAATCCAGCTAAGTCAGCAGGCCCCTTTCCGGTGCGACTCGAAAAGCACGTCAGCACCGAAAGAAGGGACGTCGATGGATGCAGTAGGTGGTCCACAAGCACATGAAGTGATGCAAAGCATCACGCACTCCCACGCGGGAGGCAAGGGCCAGGGTCCCCCCACTGCTGTTGCCGCGTCGGAGGCGATAATGGCTACGAATGGTACTGGTGCCAATCACGAATGGAGCGACGCGGGGGTGGTCGCAGCCACGGTTTTGCACACTGTCACACCCGGTGAGAGTAATCCTCCGTGCTTGTCTACCTCGCAGCTCGACAAGGGCGCGGCCTTGCCCGGCACCGCGACCCAACAAGGAGAGGCTAGCTCGTACATTGGAAGCGAGTCTTCCACAGCAGCCACGGCCACTACCTCGGTCAGCTCTTCTCCAAGTGCGGGCGACAGGCCCTTTCCTATGCTCCAACCGGCCACGCTGTCCTGGGCAGGTGTCCCTCCCGTGCCCAGCTCGGTCTCCTCCCTCCCGGACTCGGCCGCGCGAGTGCCGATGGACCCTGTCTCCTACCCTTTTGGGAGCGTGACGGGACAGCTCCCCTTCCATTCGGGAAGGAATGGGGGAGATGCTGTGGACGAGATGGGGGCTGCGAGGTCAGAGCCGAGTCTATTCGGACAGCCCCCTCGACGCTCTCTCTCGACGTCTGTCCCCATAGAAGCAACGGCCTCCCAAGGCCTGGTCAGCACGTTGGAGGAAGATGGATACATACCCACTCCGCGCAATGACGGGCCTTGGCACTACTTGGGCACCTTGCCCGAGTCGAACGCATCTTCGACCTCGGCCTCGGGGAGAAGAGGCACGGAGAAGCTGACCGGAGCCGGCTCGGGTGCGCTGCCCAGCACCAACAGCGTCTCCAGTGCAGGAAGCGACGACGACGGCAGCAAGCACCGTCCTGCGGCCATGAACTTCGGGCGGTACGGAGACCACCTCCCGTACAATGGGCGCAAAATATGTCGGGTCAAGAACTGCGACGGGAACCAGCGGTGGCCTGACTACCTGTGTGGGCAGCATGGAGGAGGGCGATGTCGGTGGGAGGGGTGCTCTTTGTTCCACCAAGGGATTAACAGCATGGGTCTGCTTTTGTGCGGCAAGCACTGCAAGGCCGTGGGAGCCACGTATCGCCGCCCACGGCCGGCTGCTCAGAAAACCGAGCGCGGGAACGGTGGAGGGTTCGGCAGCACGACTCGCAAGCGCCGATGAGGAAAAATGCCCAAACCACGTTTCTGTGCACAGGGTATGCA